GTCTGTAATGACATTTTGCATTAGGCAAGGGAAGGACAGGAGACCTTCCTTTCCTTCCTTTCTTCCTTCCTTCCTAACACGTTCACATGACCCAGATGGTTTGGTGAACAAACAAGTAGGTTGCAAATTCCTGAAGAAATGTGTTAAGTTATCAGTTCTTTCTCCAAGGGAAATCCAGGGAAAGCTGACCATTTTGAGAGAGAATGCTCTCCCCTGACTTCACAGCCATAAGAAATGGCTACCATTTTAAAAGTTAGGAATTATTCAGAGCTAGGCAACCAGTTAAAATTAACTAAGCACAGGAAGAATTTCCAAACATTGAGGGTCTTATCAAAACAGTTGGTCGCTCATATAAATGATACAATTTTATTCAGAAGCATTTAAAAACAGATTGGGTTTTCACTGGTTTTGATTTAGATAGAAAGAAAGTAAGTGATGTGGGTGACAAGGTATGTAAAGGTATGTAAAGATGAAAAGGTATGTAAGATATGCATCCTAGACTCATTAGTTTTATAAAAAGTCTGACTCCTCACCTCCAAAATATGAATAAATATTAATCATGCCTTATAAAGAGTTTAAGATGAAGGCAAATGTTATTACATCCTAAAACCACCTTTGTTTTTTCATACTTCAAAGCTATCTATGGTTGTCTGCGTGCGAAGTCCCTTCAGTCATGTCCAACTCTTTGCAACTGCATGGATGGCAGCCTGCCAGGCTCCTCTGTCCATGGGATTCTGCAGGCAAGAATACTGGAGTGGGTTGCCATACCCTCCTCCAGAGATCTATAGTTGTCTTTGTTACTTTAATTACTAATTTGTTTTTTTAAATTCATTGTTCTCATTATTTTGTACCTCAGGTTTCCCCCCCACCCCAGGAATTTGAGAGTAAATTCAGCAGTGACAGTTTCACGATGAATTTTTTTTTTTTCATTTTGTAATTTTAACAATGGATGAATAATTTTGTTTGGTTCCTAGAAAAAAATAATGTTACCAATCTACTTCTTTCTAACTTTCAGTAGGCTCAGACCTTCAGGAAGTTAATCATGGGTCATATCATTCTAGACCACTTTACAGGAGAAGTCTAAGAGGTAATCATGTTAAAACTCTCTGATATGCCCAACTGCTCACTTTGTGAATTTATAACCTATTTATAAGTATCTTAACAATGAAATGAACAAGTCACCTTAGTGACTGTTTCCTTCTAAAATTAAATTTCCACAAGAAGAGGGAGCATGTGATTCTTGTGACTTGTGACTTCATTAAAGAGAAGTTGATACTCATTTCAAACAAAAGGGAATAAAAGCTGAAAGTCTTATGTGGTAGATGAAAAAAACTACTTCATATCTGAGGGATTTCAATTTTAAATACACATCAAGACATAAGTCATTCAGTAAATCCACTGATAAAAAAAGAGAATGACTAAATTTATAACAGGCTTCTATTTTTCTCTTTTTAACATTTTAAAGATTTAGACAGATAAGAGAAAAAAAACATAGATGTTTTACACATATGTGAAATACACACTAAAAAATGAAGTCCAAAATTTTGACATTTCATTGCTCACTCACATACAGTGGATGAGCAGCAGTAGTTAGCTGACTCTGCATTTTACGTCGGCAATCTGGCATGGTGTCTTTCCCAATGTGTCCCAGATGTTACATAAAGTTTCAAGCATCTATAAAAAAACCTGTACATAGGCATGTGTATGTGTGTATTTCCAGGAGGGGAGAAAACAAACAATAGACTTCATAACTTTAATAGAAGCTGCTATTTAGACCATATGAAAGTTTACTGTTTTACAGAAGCTTAAATGGCTTTAGTGAGCATTTATAAAATGTGTCCTGCTGTATGGCCTTTAAATCTGACAGTAGCTGGCACCATACATTTTCTGAACAATGGTCCATATTGATGCAGCTGTTGCCATAGTAACACTGGCTAGAACATCTACTTCAGGTTTGTCTAGCTGAGCATGGCTTTTTCCCTAAAATGAGCACCAATAGCCTATGCCTTTTAATATTGAGCGGTTCCAAATAGGAAAAGGAGTACGTCAAGGCTGTATATTGTCACACTGCTTATTTAACTTATATGCAGAGTACATCATGAGAAACACTTGACTGGAAGAAGCGCAAGGTGGAATCAAGATTGCTGGGAGAAATATCAATAACCTCAGATATGCAGATGACACCACCCTTATGGCAGAAAGTGAAGAGGAACTAAAAAGCCTCTTGATGAAAGTGAAAGAGGAGAGTGAAAAAGTTGGCTTAAAGCTCAACATTCAGAAAACTAAGATCATGGCATCTGGTCCCATCACCTCATGGGAAATATATGGGGAGACAGTGGAAACAGTGTCAGACTTTATTTTTCTGGGCTCCAAAATCACTGCAGATGGTGACTGCAGCCAAGAAATTAAAAGATGCTTACTCCTTGGAAGGAAAGGTATGACCAACCTAGATAGCATATTAAAAAGCAAAGACATTACTTTGCCAACAAAGGTCTGTCTGGTCAAGGCTATGGTTTTACCAGTGGTCATGTATGGATGTGAGAGTTGGACTGTGAAGAAATCTGAGTGCCAAAAAATTGATGCTTTTGAACTATGGTGTTGGAGAAGACTCTTGAGAGTCCCTTGGACTGCAAGGAGATCCAACCAGTCCATCCTAAAGGACATCAGTCTTGGGTTTTCATTGGAAGGACTGATGCTGAAGCTGAAACTCCAATACTTTGGCCACCTCATGCGAAGAGCTGACTCATTGGAAAGACCCTGATGCCAGGAGGGATTGGGGGCTGGAGGAGAAGGGGACGACAGAGGATGAGATGGCTGGATGGCATCACCAACTTGATAGGCATGAATTTGAGTAAACTCCGGGAGCTTGTGATGGACAGGATAGGCCTGGCGTGCTGGGATTCATGGGGTCACAGAGAGTCAGACACGACTGAGCAACTGAACTGAACTGAACTGAACCTTCTATATTGCCAGTTAAAATAAGACCTAATTTAAAGTCTGTGAAAGTTTGGCGGAGAAGAAGATAATTTTCAACTGCACAAGTAGTGAACTCACATCCATCTGTCAAAAGGCGTTATTTCTAAAAGCGACTAGTATTTCAGAAAATCAAGGACTTGGGGCTCCCAAGGAAGAAAATCTACACTGGAAAACATGCATTTGTCTATAGTATAACTATGATGTACTTTTGCTGATTTCATTTGTCTGTAGGTTAGTTCTCGTTCAAGTGTACTTCTATATCCATCTTATCAAATCCTGAAAAATTTCTTAGGTTGTAGCATGGTTAGAAGTTTCTTTATTGATAGGACAATATTAAATGTTTAGTATTTAGTACTAAACATTTATTAAATTTTATTTTATTTATTTTTTATATTAAATGTTATAAACATTTTATTAATACAATCAGTATTAAAGGAGATTCAGGGTTTCTATTAGCCTTATAAAGTTTGCCTATAATATTTTATAAAAACTAAAGTGATAAAATCAGTTGTCATAAAATTTGTGAACACCCGTCTTTCCACATTAAAAAAAAAAATCTTCCCAATTGAAATATGTACCTTACTTCTTAAGGTTTTATGTTCTTTCAACTTTTCAGTGAGAATTACTTTACTCAATAGCCTATACTCCAAATGTAAATGTACACTGAAACAGAAGACTAACTTCTTCATTTTCCCCTTTTTTTTAAATAGAAGAAAACAAAACAACTTATGTATGTTTGAATTTAAAAACTTGCAGGACACCTCTACTTTTTGATGGTGGTTATTTAACTTTTATATTTTTGGTTGTTATGTGACTTTTGCCTTAAAAACAAACATCCTTTATTTTCTGTCTATGGAAATAGATTATCTTGGTTTTTTAATTTTCTTGCATGCACTCCACATGTTATGTATACATGTTAGTTACAAAATAACTTTATATCTTTAAAAAGTCATGTTGGAAATTTACTAAGGAGAAAGGAAAAGAAGTTTTAAAAAGGAAACAAACCAAAAAGTACCTAACTACAATGTAATCTAATTCTACTTGCTCTCCAAATGACCTTGAATGAATTCCAACCCATTTCTAATCTCCTCACTCCAAACTGGGTCCACTTGTTTTCTCATTGATGACTGATCTTTCTTGCCACTCTGAATCTTGCTCACTTCAATCAAGGGAAAGACAACCAGCATGGAAGCCCAGGGACAGCATTCAGCCTTCTCTTACAAACACTATGCATTTTAAATTATGAAGATGATATGGCATGTTTATCATACTTCCATAATTATAAAAATAGAAAATTAGCTAATGTGTTAGAAAAAACTTCTTTCTTAAGAAGTTAAAAATGAATTTATTACACATTTCATAGACACGGATCTGGGTGTAGAGCCTGTCTGCGCGAGATGCTCTCCTCCTTGCTTGAAAGAAGGCAAAAACAAAAGCAGGTTTCCTTTCTCTTCTCCTTCACCAAATACAGTTGCTTTGGAGTCACACAGAGAAGGCCCAGAAGTCAGCTGAATGGGTGGTATGATGAAGCTAGACCCCACTGCAGTTCTCAATTTTAAAGTTTGCATATGTTATTCAATTTCTATACAGTATATTCTTTGAGGAAAAAGCATGATTCTTAAAAAAAGTTAAAAATTTGGAAACCACATTAAATGATTACTTTCTAAATGCTACTATGAGTTTATACCAATCTATCCACTATAGTAGGCTGACATCCAAACAACACGGCTACATTTGGGTAATTTGGAATTAATGAAATGAGTAACAGTGTCAGCTGTGATGCTGGTCCCCATGACCTCAAATACATCATGCCCCACAGGCTAGATACACCCTCAGGATTCAGGTGATATTACTGAGGTAGTTATAGCAGCAACTATTAAATGACAGCCCTGATAACATAAGGTGCAAATAAGATACTCTATGTATATTATTACATGTGGGAAAACAATGTCAAAATAATTCTTAAAGAGTTCTAACATCAGACATTAATGAATTAAATAGAATTTGTGGGATTTCATAATTACCCTCGTGCTGGAATATTCATGTGTCTTGCAGACTTAACAACCTCCTCGAACTTCTTCATACTTTCTTCAATAGAACAGTTAATGTTCTTCTTGCTAAAGGATTCAGAGGCAGCACCAAAAACAGATACCTCGGTTGCTCCTGCAGCAACCTGAAAAATATAATTTAAAGGCAAAAGCTAATTAGTTTCAACAATATAAGTGAGAGCAGTAGAAGCAATATTAATTACTCTGTAAAGAAATACTTGTATTCTTTACCATTCTGCCTAGAATTTAAAACTGGATTTCTCTCTACTTAAAATATGCTCTCTTTTGGCATGTAAAAATATTTTATAACAGGATAATTCCATAAACTACAACACTCATAAATCACAGAATATATAATGGTGGTATTCCAATTTAATTTTGCCTTTCCTAAAAGTTATCCTCAGAAGTATTTTAACCCAAATTGTGGAAAATACCAGCATCCCAATAAAACCTCCTAACATCTATGGAAAACATTTCTTTTAGACCATATACTTTTAAATAGAGGATAGTAAATGCTTTCTGGTTTTCTTCTTTCCTTATAATCTATCAGAAAAAAAAATATTTCCAAGTTATCACTTGGATTTTGCCCCCAGTTTTCTCCCTATCTCTCAACCTCCCTTCCATTGTTTCATACTTTGACTATGACAAATAAACCCTTGTGTGTCTAATCCTTTAACCCTCTTGCCAGTTCTTGTTTGTTTGTTTTTGTTTTTTAGTAAATGTAGGTGTCTTTTTTAATTTTTATTTTTATTTATTTATTTATTTAGGCTGTGCTGCATAGCATGAGGGATCCTGGTTTCCCTTCCAGGGATCGAACCCACGCCCCCTGCAATGGAAGTGTGGAGTCCTAAGCACTGGTCTGCCGAGAAAGTCCCCTCCCCTCTAGCCAATCTTTAAATCCAAAATGCTGACCTAATCAATTATCCTTTTTGCCCACTTTGCCATCTTCCTTCCTTCCTCCAGTCTTCCCACAGACTTGTTGTCAAACGTCAAGCCTCCTACTTTTCCAGACGGAGTAAGTCTTTCTATCAATATATCTCTAGCACCATGCCTAGATTGCCCTTCCTCACCAATACCCTAACACCTTAAGAAAACAAAAATTCTGTCATCTTTCCTCCAACACTGAAAAACACATTGGCTTCCACTCCTCTATCCACAATAAATTCTTAACCTTTAAAATAAAAGTCTATGGATTAACAGCAATGTCCTACTCTATAACACAGAGAACTATTTTCAATATCCAATGATAAACCATAATAGGAAAGAGTATTTTAAAAGAATGTGTATATATGTATATGTATATATGTATAATATGTATAATTTAAAAGAATGTGTATATATGTATACATATATATATGTATATGTATATATGTATAAGAATGTGTATAATTATATATGTGTGTATAATGTAATATATGTATAATATGTAATATGTATAAAAGAATGTATATATGTATAATATATGTATTATAATATGTATAATGTAATCATTTTGCTGTACATCAGAAATGAATACATCACCATAAATCAACTATATTTCATTATTTTTTTGATATAAATTAAAATAAAATTCTATTTATTGAACACCTACTCTGATCCCATGTTGCTGTTTGTACTTTGCACACCCTATTTCTAATCTACAAACAATCTTCTAAACTAAGCATGTACTATACCAATTTACAGATGCAAAAACTGTGGTTCAAAGAGAATAAATCTCTAGTAGGAGATCCCAAGGTCAGTAGAAGTTCTGGGGCCATGTTTTAGACATGAGTTTGCATAACTCCCAGGCCAAGATTGCTTCTATTACTTTCTAAGCTATCCTGAGGGTGTCCTTTCATATATTTCTCAGGGTAGGTATATTTCCTACTCTGTTAGGACCAGATGACAGAATATTTACAATTTCTTAAAAGATCTCTGTCTTTATTTACAATGTAATCAAAAATTATATTAATTTTTTAATAGAAAAGTAGTTTCACAAGATACACTAACAGGTCATACCCGAACTAGGACCCAGAACTTCAACTTCATGCAACACAGTCACAAATACAAAAGTGAAAACTGTCTGTTAAAATCAGAAATAGCTGCTGCTTAGCTTTTATAATAAAGCCATGTAAGCATACCACCTCAAGCCTCTACTTAAAGCTGCACTGATTCTTCTAGTATAAAAGTGAAAGTCACTCAGTCGTGTCCAACTCTTTTGAGACCCCATGGACTTTCCATGGAATTCTGGAGTGGGTAGCCTTTCCCTTCTCCAGGGGATCTTCCAAACCCAGGGATCGAACCTGGGTCTCCCTCATTGCAGGCGGATTCTTTACCAACTGAGGCACAAGGGAAGCCCAAGAATACTGGAGTGGGTAGCCTATCTCTTCTCCAGGAGATCTTTCTGACCCAGGAATCGAACTGGGATCTCCTGCATTGCAGGTGGATATGTATACTCACAAAAGCTTTTTGGCATATAAATTCCCAAATCACCTTGGATTCGGAGAAACAAGTGAAAAGACAATAAAGAAAGCTCTTAGTTCCAATGACAGTGGTTAGCTTCATGAAGAGGATGGTAACAATAGCAATGCCAAAAGAGGTGACAAATACAATTATCTGCTACAGTTACATTAATAATTATAACATTGTGTTGAGAAATGTTTATTTTGTACTCCTTGTTTAAGAGGGAGGGAAGCACAAAATATACTTTCAAAAGAATCTCATTGAAATGAACAATTGTATTTCTGTGTTTTAATTCTTGGATGGTTAAACTGAAAGAGCCATTTGTGTGGAGCATCTGAGTCCCAACAATGCCACAAAGTCATTGATCGCCAGTACCCACATGAGTGTAACAGCAATAGTGTTTATGCAGGATAACAAGGGAATCACACATCACACCATTTAACTTTGTAAAAATCTTTACAATAAAAAGCATAGCAATTTTAGGGAAAATTAGTAGCACACTTACAGCACGGTGAAAACCCTGAAGATTAGGAGTAAGGACAGGATATCGAATTCCTGGATATTGATGAATGCCCTTCATCACTTCAGTGTGATCTGCCATCTTGAATACATAATAAGTTATATGGAGACATGAGACTTGGAATATTCTATCGAGCATGTTCTTAGTTTTCAGGAAGGTTATAAATATACAGGAAATTATATTCTATTGATTCATGTTTGAAATAGCAAAACCATGTCAATATAGCTAATGATAAGTAGTTCTCAATGTCATAAACACTAGATGTCATAAATAACTAGATCTGGATTTTATGTATTATATAACAGGATCTGGTTAAGTGACTGATTACAGGTACTCAGGAATTCTGAACTCTCGTGTTTTCACTTGACTAATCTTTATTCTCTTCCTTTCATTTTATGTCCAAGCCTCCAATACCCCTGAGAGTAGGGAGAGTTTGAAAGGCAAAGACTGTGCATTTATCTTCCACGTGGAAATTTTATGTCCAGATAATTTTCAACATGTGAAATTTTACAATGTTAGTAAAGTGTAAATTACACATGTCCATTAGAATAATTTAACAAGGCTGAGATCCTAGTATACTATTGGTTTTAGTTACTAACAATCATAATGCTTTACATAGTTCTATCCTTGAGTTACTATTTGTTCTCATAATGTGAACAAATATTAATAAATACAGTGGAGCCCACAACAGGAAGCTCATCCTATCAAGACTTTATTTTCTATAATTTCTATGAATTTATTTAAGAAAAATCAACTTTGAATTAAAATATCAAACTTGCCAGTCCACCACAAAGTCTGTAATTTAGCCTCCTAGAGCAATAACTGATGATCAAACTCCATAATCATCTTATAGAAAAATTACCATTGATGTAACCACAAGTTCTGCATACTGAAGAATAACAAATTATGGCATGAACAATAAATATAAGGAATAATGTATAAACACAAAAAGCACACAAAATGAACATGGGGAAAGCTGTAAAAACATGTGCTAAACCAAAAGTTGTGTCTCTGGTGTGGTAATGGTTGAGGGAAGACTTGTTTTTCTCTCTATACCTTGGCTTATTAAAATAAGCATGCATTGTTTTTAATTTAAAAGCAAATAAAACAGAATTAAAGTATAAAAGCTTTTATTCACACAACTGTACATTTTTTAAAGGTGAAATATTACAATATTTACTCTTATTAGTCCATTGGTCTTATTGACTCTCAGTTAAATGCCAGTAGAATTCAAATACTTTCAATGACTAATATTTGGAATCATTAAAAAAAAAATGAAGTTTTAAATATATTCAAAATTTTAAATTCAATACTTAAGATGTAAAAAAGCATTTCCCATTGCCTGCCATCACGCCTAGTTGACACTTAAGCTTTCATTTTCATTCAATCCAAACACGTTTAATTCTGTGTAAAACGTGATCCTTGGTCACTTATTTCTTAGAGATCAAAGCTACCATCCCCCACCCCACAGCTGCATGTGTTACAAAGACCATCCACCACAGACACTTACAATGTATTAAAACCAAGGCTTATTTTATTGTAAGCCTATTTCAGTTTAACCCAAAGGTTTATTGAACATCAACTATGTCCAAAGCCCCACCCCATGCTAGGTCATGTGGGAAATATACATACAGGAAAGTAAAGTCCTTGCACTGAGTAATGTGCACTATAGTTGGGGAGATCAAGAAATGCACTAGGAAGAGTACACAATTCAAAGAAATACAGCAAGTCCCCTACATACGCATCTTCAAGTTGAGAACTTACAAAGATGTGAATGAGCATCTGGTTCTGAAAAGGAATCAGAACCCGCGACGCCAAAGTCAAGCGTGCGCGAAGCTGCAGCTGCCCCCGTCTCCTGCGGCTGACATCCTCAGCTTTGCCGTCCCCCGCCTCTCCGAACGTCAGCTGCCCTCGTATGCCCGCTGTTGCATGGCATTACTCTCCTTTGCAAGGTAAGATTAAAAATGCTTTCTTTATTTTTTGTGTTTGTCTTTTAGGGTATTATTTGTGTGAAAAATACTATAAACCTATTACAGTACAATACTGTGTAGGTGATGGGGTTAGGTGGGCACCTAGGCTAACTTCATTGGACTTATGAACAAACTGGGCTTAAGAACACACTCTTGGAACATAACTTGTTTGTATGTAGGGGACCTACTGCACACTGGTTGTGAACGAGAGCACAGTTTATAAGAGTTCGGAATGGGCAAAGATTGGTAGGGCCTATAATAGTCTAAAAGAGTATATGGAATGTGAACTGCAGTCCCTGCTATGACACATTATAATTTTTCCTAAATGGCCACAGCAGTGTTTCTAAACCCACCTGTTCTTCTAGAATCTCACCGATCTCCATCAAGAAATGGATGCTTTTACCCTTCACTGGAACCCAGGCAGACTTGTGATTGCTTCAACCCACAGAACACAGCAGAAGTCATGCCATGTGACTTCTGAGGCTAGTTTATGAACAAGCACACAGCTTCCACAGGGCTTTCTCCTTTGTGGGGAGCCACGAGAAAGTCAGCGGATCTGCGCGAGAAAAAGCAGCTTCTGCAGGGCGTTCACAGGGAGAGGCCACGCGAGAGACCCACTTAGAGGAAGTGAGCCCCCCGCCAACACCAACACGAGCCCTAAGCCCTAAACTTGTGGTTAAAGGAGCTCCAGATGATTCAGCCTGAGGCCCCAGACGTGGTAGACCACAGACAACTTTGTTCCTGTAACCTGTTCAAATTCCAAAGCTAAGATTTGATGAGCATAGCAAATGTCTATTGACACCACTCAATTCACAGACAGTTCATGACAAAGCCATAAAGGTGGAAACTCTGAGAATCAATAGGGTGGGGAGAGGGGGAGAGATGACTGTAGGTTACAGCAGCAGGAATACACTACCTGGCTGGAAAAATTATCAGAAAAGAATCAGGGAGTCTCTTTTTCTGTTTTGCACATAGGGTTATCGTTACCATCTTTCTAAATTCCATATATATGTGTTAGTATACTGTAATGGTCTTTATCTTTCTGGCTTACTTCGCTCTGTATAATGGGCTCCAGTTTCATCCATCTCATTAGAACTGATTCAAATGAATTCTTTTTAATGGCTGAGTAATATTCCATGGTGTATATGTACCACAGCTTCCTCATCCATTCGTCTGCTGATGGGCATCTAGGTTGCTTCCATGTCCTGGCTATTATAAACAGTGCTGCGATGAACATTGGGGTGCACGTGTCTCTTTCAGATCTGGTTTCCTCGGTGTGTATGCCCAGAAGTGGGATTGCTGGGTCATATGGCAGTTCTATTTCCAGCTTTGGTAACGATAACCCTATGTGCAAAACAGAAAAAGAGACTCCTATGTATAGAACAGACTTGTGGACTCTGGGAGAAGGCGAGGGTGGGATGTTTCAAGAGAACAGCATTGAAACACGTATATTATCTAGGGTGAAACAGTTCACCAGCCCAGGTTGGGTGCATGAGACAAGTGCTCGGGCCTGGTGCACTGGGAAGACCCAGAGGGATTGGGTGGAGAGGGAGGTGGGAGGGGGGACCGGGATGGGGAATACATGTAAAAAAAAAAAAAAAAAGATACACTATGGTTGTGATAAAAAATAAATAAATAAATAAATAAATAAATAAAAGAATCAGGGAATAGGTTATAAATTAAGATGGGGGCAACGCATGGTGATGTATCTTGAGTTAAGCTCATGTGATTCTAAAACTTCAGGATTTACTGTGAAGACACCAGAAAGCCATGAAGAGTGGCTGCTGAATCAGCTGAGGAAGACTGGGCGAGACTCAGCACTTTAGAAAGATTGGCCTGGGAGAGGTGCAAAGGGCAATCGGAAGAAAAGAGAGGCAGTTTCCAAGTGAGGAGAAAGCAGCTTCTGACGAGCTTCGCTGCAGAGACACGGCACTGGGAAGAGACACCAGAGACAAATCGGTAAGCACCCAGAGGCTGGCAGGATCAGGGAGGCGGTTTACTTTAACATGTAATCTTCACTCTTACAGCTTCTTTTTAAAACAGTTACAATCTGTGCATGTTTCAACACACAGTTCCTGACTATATATTCACGAATGCAGCCTCTGTGTCTGGGGCTGAAGTGTGAGTTCTGTCTCTCTCCCCGTCTCTGTCTCTCCACGTGTCTCTCTCACACGCATACATGCAAAATGCACTCACAAATCATCATACAATATTTCAAGCATTGATTCCTAATTTCAAGCACAAAGAAAAGTTACTGCTAGTTTTAGGACAATGCAGTGAATGCTAATTGATATTATTAACACTTATGTCTAACTAGATGTCGTATGTTTAAACATGTATGACATATTCATATTAACGTGATAACAGGAATCAATAAAAAGTGCTTCTCTAACCAACACATAGTTAGAGAATAAAGTATGCAATGCGTTACAGTATGAAGGGGACAAGACAAATGTTAATCTTCAAGAAATTTAGGTCGTATTAACATGCAAGTGATTAATTCACTCTACATGTAATTTAACAAAAATCTTGAAATCTTTATGTAGAAAATTATGTAAGAAAACAACAACTTTGATATTTCAATTTGTAGAACTGGAAAATAAGCAGAGATGACAGTAACCAAATTCTGAATGTAAACCAAATTTTAGGTCATGAAAGCTAAACTTTGATAATCATTGAAGATACTTTAATGAAATTATGATAAATTAGAATTTATTAATTAGAATTAATTTAATTAACTAGAATCCAACAAATCAGAACATTTTCCTTTATAAAAATAGCCACAATATGTTGAGGTCATTTAAGACATAATAGTATTCTCTCTAACTTTGGTCAATAAGGACAATTATGTAAAGAGCTTTAGGAAGTTGTGATAGGATATAATTTTATTACAATGAATAAACTAGAGCAGGTTTCAATTAAAGGTAGAAAATCCTTGCTTTACTTTATTTTTTTACTCTTAGGGAGTTTATGTTATACTTCAGTCTTGATGTTATCTTAATGTCTAAAGTTTAACTATTATTTAAACAATAATAGAACTATTCCTTTACAGTGCTATTTTGACATTTTAACAAAACCTTTCTACGTCTGGTTTGAATTAGCATATTTTTA